TTCTCCGGATTTGAACACAATCGAAAACGTTTGGAGAATCATGAAGCGAAGACTGTACGCCAACAGTGGATGGATATCCAGGTCTATGAAAGAGTAGAAATATATATATATATATGGCCACTTCTTATTTTATATAGAGTCTAAAATATAATTTTATTGAGAGCTTAAAAAGATTGTTTTATATACAGCTGAAAAATGAATTTTTTTATAGAACATATAGAGAGAGCATATTATGTATAATAATAATAATAATAATAATAATAATAATGATGATGATAATAATAATAATAATAATAATAATAATAATAATAAGTTATAGCATCTGGATTAAAGTCTGAAACTGAAGGCTTTATTCTTGCAGCGCAAGACCAGAACTAGGAATTTTCAGGCAAATATCATACATAATTTGGATCCAAAATGCAGGTTCTGTGACAAATACCAAGAAACAAAGACCATCTAATCTCAGGATGTTTATACTTGCCCCAAAATGAATATAAAATCGTCACGATAGAGTGGGGCAATACTTACACTGGACAATGTGCAAACACTTTGGAAAATGTGTAAGCAAACACTGAAATATGAACATCGGCCAGCGCCGGTTACAGAAATAGAAGATGTCACCATTCTATGGGATTATACCATCCACACAGACAGAAAATTGAAGCAAATAGGCCGGACATTATTGTCAAAAAACCAGAAAAAAAACTTGCCTACTAATTGATATGGTTTTGTCCAGCGGATTGTAACATAGCAACCAAGGAATTTGAAAACTATCAAAATACAAAGACCTGGAAATTGAAATAGAAAAAAATGTGAAATTGAAAACAAGAATAATACCAGTGGTAATAGGGCACTTGGAATTATAAAAATGGAACAAAACAACACATTGAAAGAATCCCTGAAACCCCAACTTAAGAGACATACAGAAAATTGTCTTATTAATACAGCACACACACTAAGGAGAACTTTGTCTATGTAACGCTAGCAACTTCATCGGAGATAAAAAAAAAAAAAAAAAAAAAAAAAAAAAATGAAATATTATAACAACACACCACGACCTGCTTAGGTCTTTTTTGGTAGGTAGTGTGTCCATAGCAGAAATCGAATGATGATGATGATCAATAAAAAATAATAATAATGATGATATAATAATAATAATAATAAATAATAAGAATAATAAAATGATAATAATAATTTATATATGAATTCATATAGATCATAAAAAAGAAAAAAAACAAATATAGAATATAAAATATTATTTTATATAGAATTCAAAAAGAACGGATTGTGTAGTTATATAATAAAATATTAAAAAATTATATAGAAATGTGGAAGAAAGTCATAAAATAATTAAAATAAATCTATTGAAGAAAATTGTATTAAAGAAGCCGTCTAAGATTTTTTGATTCAAGGAACGATTATAAATTTTGGAGAGTAACCATGAAAGTTAGTCGAGGAAAGCAAGAAGAAGAAAAAACTAGCTATTGAATATAAGAAGAGAGAATGAATAGTCGCGAGGAAAGAGAGAACGAACGAGAGAGCGATCAAATTGCGCGCTGACGTGTTGGAGGCGTTGAAATTAAGCAGGTGCAGACATTTAATTATCTGGGTAGTGTAGTAACAGACAACAGAGAGTGTGACAGATATCGGAGGAAATTAAGCTAAGCGTTAAGAGATAGGAAAATGTCCTTAGAAACAAAGGCATGAATGTTGAACTGCTATGTAATATCTAATCTAACAGTCAGAAACAAAGGAGCTTAAATATTTGTTAAATATAACGAGGAAATAGGCTTGGAGACTTTAACACTAAGAAGACGTATTGAAAGCAGGAGAAGCAAAGGAAGCGGTTAGTAATCTGTTTAACCGATTTGAGTGAATGTATGGTAGAAAAAGGAGAAAATAGGTAGAGTGTAACCCGGATATAAGAGAGTTGTCGGGACCGGAGAAGAAGTCTCTTATATCCAGGTTTCTCTTATATCCGGGTTTGGTCTATTTTGTTTAGATTAACACGGGCTCTAATTTGGGACCAGAGAAAATCTCTCTTATATCCGGGTCTCTTATATCCGGGTTACACTGTAGCAAGAGTTACTTAGCGAAATAAAAGGCAGGAAGTTGTGAAGAGATGTGGTCAACCACGTCACGTAGAATATTAAAGAATTTAACAGTGGGTGAGCTTTTTTTGAGAGGGCAGGCGGTTATAAAAGAAGTAGGTTCTAGCTATTATTTTTATTATCTTTTATCGCTATTTCCATGGAAGATTTACAGGCGAACTACATTCCTTAGTTCCACCTTCACGGCTAAGATCCACCATGTTTCGTGAACCATTGTAGTGAACCACTTTCATTCCTTTCGTATTCCATTCGTGAGATGTAAGTTCCACTGAAGCAGTTTCCTGCCGCGAACCGAGACTTCCAAGACAATCAGTAAAATCTTAATCTATTCAAATCTAGGATTAACTGTTATCTTCCCCACATATCCGCATAAACTCTGACTCTTATTCTATACTCTCTACCCTGAGTGGTTCCCAGATTTTTAGAGGGTGAAAATAATCGTAAAAAAAAAAAAGGAAAAAAGAAATTTTGGTGAGATTTCACTGTGTTAAATACCAATGTGTTGGGTTTTATGATCAGGAGCAGCTGCGATTCTAGTAGAAGGACTACACTGATTTTATAACGGTGGGGAAGTCGACTACATTTACCGAATAAGTCATGACAATTAACACATAAAGGTCATGATATTACAAAATGGTGAAAAGATGAATGCAATGAGTTGCAATAAAGAAAAGAAAATAAGAGATACGAAACCCGACCGATTTGCTATCAGTCAGAGATTCTACGCCTAGGCTCTCGTCGCACGACAGAGAGGAAGGTAAATTTTTTCTGTGCGAAATATGTCACTCGCCCGGAGAGCTCAATTCCATTCGGTTGAGGAGCAATGCGTTGATGAGCGGTATGACCCACTCTTTTTAAAATTACCCTTTTCTCAAGAGCATATATATTGGATTGCATTATTATAGATACATACATACATACATACATATATATATATATATATATATATATATATATATATATATATATATATATATATATATATCAAAGTATAGGATTGGTGTATACGGAATAAATTCAATAAACAAAAAATACTATTCTTAAGAATGTGCACAATGCAGAATAGAGCCTATATAATTTATTCGAAAATTATAACAAAATATGTTATAAAATCTCTACAAAAATAACCATTTTGTTTGAAAACTTCTGGTTATCGAGTGATGGTGTTAAATGTAGAAATATATATATATATATATATTTATTAAAGACATTTTATTATGTTTAACGTTGTTATTTTAACATTTACCGGCCTGAATAATACTTTTATTTAATACTGTTTATCATAAACAGAGCATTTGCTTAAATACTTGTATCTATAAAATAACAACATTAAACATAATAAAATGTCTTTAATAAATAAATTGTCGGACCTTGTCCATTTCTTAATATATATATATATATATATATGTATGTGAAAAATATATAGAAAATAGGAAAGAACTCGTTAGGTAAATAATCCAAAGTTCTTTAGTATTTTTGTTATTATTTTTAAAAAATAGTGCTCGATACAAAAGTAGAGAATAAATATAATTATTTATTTAAAAATATGATTCCAACACGCTACATAAGAGTTGTCATGTTTCAAAACAAGAGCCGAAAACTTAAATTAAATTGAATTAAAGTACTAAGCTCCGTTCCATCTTCAAGCGAAATTTTTTTTTTGGAATAACTTATTTCTGAAATTTACGCGTTTTATAAGCATATTCATTATTGCAATCAAAATTTCTATGGTAACGGCTAGAGCAATTGTTTAAAGAAAAGGAGCGTAAGGTGTTAATAATTTGTATCAATATCTCAGTTACATTCACAGATGTCAAGTCAGGGTAAGGTTGGGGTGTCTAAATTTAAAGCGGAAGATGACATCGTCTAGACTGGTTAAGTATCTATGGAGATTTATTTACTTTTTTTAATGGTAAAAACAAAGTTTTCGCATATATATATATATATATATATATATATATATATATATATATATATGCGGACTGTTCTCCTAAACTTTGTTTTTCCCATAATGTTTCACCCGATCATCATATATATGTCAATTCAGACTAACCCTAAAGGAATTTCGACTTTATTTAATCTACTGGGGTAGACTGGTATATTTACATTACCCACATATAGGTATATTTAGTTTAGTTTTACTTTAGTTCAGTTATTGATCGAGCCGTTTCTGCCGAGTCCAAGGACACACTGCCCGACCCATGGATTGAACTCGCAATTACTATGTAACAAAATTCATGAACCGACGTATAAACTGTATGTTCTCAATTCGTTGCCTTTGTGGTAAAGAATAAAAAGGTTGAATACGCCGTTTCTTAAAAGTAAGGCTGAAGGAACATTGAAAGACTGTAGGATTGAGAAATGGGTAGACATTAGATCTTATGGAATGAAGTGAAATTACTGGACAAGAAAGAACACTAAAGAGTTAGACCTATAAAAGTATCAATGTTATCAATAGGCCTAGCGTAGAAATAAATACGATATGGTAAGGGTATTATTAACCATTTCCTTATAAGGAAACGTTCGCCATTTATTGAGAAAGTAGTACCCTTGGTTGAAATTTAAAAATCTTTTAAAAAGAACTTTTTAGGAAAATAAGTTTCTCAAGTCCAGAATTTGTATTAAAACAGGATTTGATCTTTTCTCTGAAAAATGACAAATATTTTGACGATTTTATGTTTTAGGCATTTTTTTTATTAGGTACACTCTATTTTAGCCAGTTTTTAGTCAGAATTTACTTCTACTTTATGTTTTAATCTAGACAAACACATACGCAAACAGATACATGCACAGAAATGTGTGTTCGTATTTTTAGTTATTTCGATCTTTCTTTCTTTCAGTATGTGTGTGTGTGTGTGATTTTGTTTTCTTTTCTCTCTTTCTCTTTTCATGCCGATACGAACACATATATATTTGTGCACATTCATTTTCTGTCTCTATCTATCTATCTATCTATCTATCTATCTATCTATCTATCTATCTATCTATCTATCTATCTATCTATCTATCTATCTAAGCTTGTTCCTATCTATCTATCTATCTATCTATCTATCTATCTATCTATCTATCTATACCAGTTGTAGTATGATCACCGAAGTTAAATAACGTCGAGCCTGGTCAGTACTTAGATAGGTGAATGTTTGGGAATATCAGGTGCTGTCAGTTTGGATGTACGGGTGGTGCAATGGATAACGGCTCGGTTTGATTCGTTATATTAACTTACACGTGAATACAATTGAGAAAGTTATGGATCCGCCTCTTCTCCCCCAACTACGGATTAATTAGTAGAACTTGTATCAGTGAATTGTTATCATCTACCAAAATTTCATAGAATCTAAAATATATATTCTGGCTTTAAATAACCTGAATAAGGTTCACAAACCGTAAAAAAAAAAACAAATGAATCGATCAATCAATATATATCATTCTAATGATACTGTATTTAATTAATAAATTCCAATCATTTAAACACCAGCAATTTTATTCTAGACAAAGTGGGAGCAATTTTAAAATATATCTAAAATATGTAAAACATTTTTTTGATCACACCTGTTATTTTTTTTATTCTAAAATGTTTATAAGTTTTAATCCGATGTCAATTTCTCCACATGAGAAGTGAAGACCAAAAATAATATCCAATTCGTGAATTCCGTTGAAAATGTATTACTGCATTCATTGTCAATATCAAGTTAAAAAAAACACACTTTATTTTTGCATTAATACTGACTGAAGCCAGTATTTATGCAACTTCCATTTAAACCACAAAAATCTTTCGAGAAATCCTACACGAATTTGTGCTTATCTCATATAGAAAAATATAAACCTCTTTTAATCAGTGATGTTTTTGTTTCCTTGAATTAAATATTAGAAACCCCCCAAAAAAGAAAAAACCAAACCAAAACAAAAAAACAGAAAGATTCTAAACAGGTTCTGGATATTACCGTAGATTTTTGTGATCTTTCGTTTGCTGCCAAAGGTTACTTATTCGGCTTCGTGACAACCATATATTTTGCTTCTTCTTAGTCACGGGCTTTGATTATAAGAGCGAAAGAAATTCTAACATGGAAGACAGAAGAAAAGTACAAACCCATTTAGAAGTTCGACACTATTTTTTGTAACCCATTTCATGATGTTCTCTCGCAAAATGTTTACTTTGGGGATATTTTAAAAGAAAAAAAACCTTTCAATTCGCACATGGCTAAAATAAGTATAATACACACACTCACTCACACACTCACACACACACACGTATGAATATATAAATATATAAATAAACATCATATATATATATATATATATATATATATATATATATATATATATATATATATATATAGCTTTTTAATTTGTAGGTTTAATGATTTTGATCGTGATTACGATTCCAATGTAATAAATTATAACCCTAGAATATTAGTGTTTGGGCCTTTTTATTATATTCTTACTCTGTCTTGGACATTGAGTTCTACCTGGATTCTATTCTCTTGGAATATATATATATATATATATATATATATATATATATATATATATATATATATATATATATATATTTCCCACTCATATATATATATATATATATATATATATATATATATATATATATGCATGTGCGAATGTATGGGCTGCTCCGAAGTCCAATAAATAACTTTGGCACAAGAAGCTAAAAATGTACATCAATTTCTAGAAACTATTAGTTTAATATCTTTCTGTTTTTGCATTCGAATTTTTTATTCAAGTAAACATTCCCATTACACACACAGACACACAAACATAGACACACATATACACACAGACACAGACACACATATACACACAGACACAGTCACACACACACACACACACACACACACACATATATATATATATAGGTTAACATGCATATACGTGATCTCTGCTTTTATCAGAGGAGTATAAGAGAATTCCTCGTTTTAGGCCTTATCTAAGTAGTAAAGAAATAATCTTTCCTGTCGTCTTTGGCATTACAATATTCATTAAAAAATTCTTTTTGTTTCTCGTTTGACAAGTATTAAAAAATCATCTTTGCTTGGTGCTTAAAGACAAAAGAAAAGAAGAATTTTGATTCGTATTCATTACTGCAGAAATGTCTTTCATTCATTTTATGGCCATTTCAAAAGGTTTGAAAAAAGTTGTTTTTTATTTAATTTTATGAGAATCGCAAAAAAGATTCCATTTTATGTCTTTTGAATACAACAATTTTTAGAAAAACGAAAACTTGTTTTGCTTTGATATTAACAGATTCCAAGAAAAAAATGTTTAAATACTTTAGGTTTTGACATTATCCAAGTGAAAAGTTCTTTATCTCTGTACAGTGACACTTCAGGTCGTGGGCGAACATGACACTGTACAATGTCCTGTCTTTTCATCATCCAAGCCACACCCTGTTCTACGATCCATTTACACAATCTTACTGTCAAAGTTACTCGTCTTTCCCTCTTGATTTCAATCTGACCTGTGCGTATCAGATTCTCCAAACCCTCTTTCCTTATTATGTGTCATAGAAATTTTATTCACCTCTTTCTGATTTGTAAATTAAAGCGCGTATGTATATATATTTATATAGAAGTAGAAATATATATATATATATATATATATATATATATATATATATATATATATATATATATATATATATATATATATATATGTAAGCATATATAGATATAGATCCGACAGTATGAAGAAAAATATATACGGAAAAACAAAACAAAAATCCTTATATACAATTATGTCTTTGTCATGTTGTATTGATAATGTTATATTTATGAATATGTCCTGAAAGATGGTTTATTAGACCGAAACGTCAGACGTTGACATATTAACATTAAAACAGCATAATTGTATATAAGGATTTTTTTTTTTTTTTTTATATTTTTTTTATATGTATATATGTATATATATATATATATATATATATATATATATATATATATATATATATATATATATATATATATATATATACTCACTCAGAAGGAATATATATATATATATATATATATATATATACATATATATATAACTCACTCAGAAGGAAAATCCTAGAGAGTGCCGCCATAGAACAGTACCCAAATAATAATCTTTGCCCAGGTTTTTTCATTTCACCGCAAACAAATGTACACAACAGATTCATAAAATCAAAAGAAAATGGTTGAATACATCAACACAGATATAATGACAATAATCTCCACACGTGACAAATACTGACGTTATTTTCAGTTAACAATATGAAAATAGCGTTTCTCTACATTTCAGTTGCTAGGAACATTCTGTTTTTGTTTTTATTAGTTACCTTGTTCAATTAAATTCATTTTCGTATTTTGCTTTTGATAAAGTCCACATTGGACGAAACGCGTCAGCAATTACCAGTTTTCCTATTGTCATTTTTTTCATATATATATATATATATATATATATATATATATATATATATATATATATATATATATATATATATATATATATATATATATATATATATATATATATATATATATATATATATATATATATATATATATATATATATATATATATATATATATATATATATATATATATATATATATATATATATATATATATATATATATATATATATATATATATATATATATATATATATATATATATATATATATATATATATGTATATATATATATATATATATATATATATATATATATATATATATATATATGTATATATATATATATATATATATATATATGTGTGTGTGTGTGCGTGTGTTAGTAATATATATGTATATTTTGCCATTATATATATATTTTGGTCAATTTACAAACTTATTTTAAAATCATTCATTGACATTTCAAAAGTCATTTGCAGTTATAAATTTTTCTGTTTGCTTTTTTTGTTTAAAAGATATGATACTTTAATGGCTATAATAAAATGATCAAAGAACAGCGAAATAAACTTTGATCTTTGGTCAAGAATGGGAATAACTTCAGCAAACGAAATAGTCTTTCAATTTCGACGTTGTCAAAATATTTTTCTAGTTGGTATTTGCTATGAATGTATCAAAAGTTTAACTTTACGTTAGTTGCGTTCACATTTGCAGTAATATTCTTTGGATCTTTGGATCTATATTTATATCAATTTATTCTTCTGATCTACTTATTTTAAATCATCTGTCTGATTCATTGACATTTCTATCTAAAAGTCTATTTGTATCTATATCAGTCCATCAGTTATAAATTTTCTGTTTGCATTTATGTATCTATCTAGTTTTCTATTTTATCTTCATTTAATCTATCTCAGTCTATTCTGATCTATCTATCTATCGATCTATGTATCTATAAAGTCCATTCTGATCTATCGCAGTCTATTCTGATCTATCTATCGCAGTCTATTCTGATCTATCTATCTATCTATCTATCTATCTATCTATCTATCTATCTATCTATCTATCGCAGTCTATTCTGATCTATCTATCTATCTATCTAATCTATCTATCTATCGCAGTCTATTCTGAAACGATGTATCTATAGTCTGATTTCTAATTTCGATCTATCTATCTATCTAAATATCTTTCTCAGTATTTTGATCTATCTATCTATCGATCTATGTATCTATATCAGTCCATTCTGATCTAATATTCTGATCTATCTATCGCAGTCCATTCGGATCTATCTATCTATCTATCTATCTATCTATCTATCTATCTATCTATCTATCGCAGTCTATTCTGATCTATCTATCTATCTATCTATCTATCTATCTATCGCAGTCTATTCTGATCTATTTATCAATCGATTTATGTATCTATCTCAGTCCATTCTGATCTATCTATCTATCTATCTATCTATCTATCTATCTATCTATCTATCTCTGTCAGTCCATTCTGATCTATCTATCTTGAATAATTTAGACAAGTTTTGTCTACTCATTTTCAATAGGATCCTCTCATATTCTCATGGACAAGCATCTTAGTTTTTCTTATTTTCTCTCTTCCTTTAATAAGGATATTGAATTGAAATAAGAGAGAAAATTATATCTATAATTCTTCATTAAAATAATAAACATAAAGTATAAATTCCTGAAGCTATCTATATTAAAAAAATAAAACCAAACCATAATGCAATTAATTATGAATACTGCACAAATGTTTTAAAATGTTTACAATGTCTAGGTTTTAACTCATAGTTTTAACTAATAGTTTAAATATTTAAAAAAACAAAAACAAAAATCATTTGGACATATCATAACTTAATTATCTCCCCTGACGATTATATCGTGAAATTTAAATCGTACAGTACATAACATTAGCGTTTTTCACTTGTCAGGTAAAAGATGTAACTTTCAGTTGAACACAACAATTTTGTCTCAGAAAAATAATGAACGGAACAATTTTTGTCTTAGAAAAAAACACAACACTCTGATGATGACATTGTGCTAATGTCCAAAGTACTCGGAATAAATGAAAATGTATCAAAAGGGTAATAATAAAGATACTAAGAAGCTTGTTCGTGAATATGAAAGGATCGTATTGAAAATAAGTAGACAGAACTATATATATATGTGTGTGTGTGTGTGTGTGTGTGTTTGTGCGTGCGTATGTGTGTGTATTATAGCAAAAAAACAAAAATTACCTCAACATAGAGTATAGCCTAATTTAGTTGAGGTATTTTTTTGCTGTAAAAATACACATGCTTTGTTATAATAAATACATCGTGATCTCTGTGGATTAGTTTTAATAATTAATATTACTAGGATCCACCCGAATTATATACCAAGGGATCGATTAACTGTACTATATATATCGTTAAAGTCGACAGAAAAGGTACTACGATTAAGCTTTGTATTTGATTTTTTTTTATGAACACTGTTCCAGAAGCAGTCATTCAAACCCAATCCAAGACACTGTCTCCACCATGCTTCATAGATAAGCCTGTATTTTTATTAAAGCAAATCACCCCAATCAAGCCGGGAGTGCCACTGGCACTCAAATGGTTACAGAGAGCGAGAGTTTGGGAAAAGGATAAAGAGACGGACAGAGATCAAGGTCAATGCGTCAGAAGATGTCGATTGACATTATATTTAAATATTTGAAGATTATAGCTATCAAGGAAGCAAATGATAGGAAATGAGTTCCACTGACGGAAGGTGCGAGATAAGTGCGTTTAGTCGTTTCGACAGTGAAAGGGTAGGAATGGGGTAACTCAGCCTCTAAAATCCATTATCTGACCATGAGAATGGAAGTCGGCAATTAGTAGACGCTAGCTACCATGTGTACTAGAACCCTATGTCGCATCCTTTATACTGGAAAACCAAATTTGTTCTTTAGAATAGGACAATGGGAATTATTACTAAGTTAAAACTTAATGTAATGGAAGTCATAAACATAAAATCCCATTCCCATCCATTGGTAAGTTTGTCTACAGCTGTCAACACGGACTTGTCAGCTGCAGTCTTTTTTTGTGTGTGTATGAAATAGGAGTAGGTAGGATTCCTTGCCGTCTGGTCAATACACCTCCCACTTCTCTTGGACAAGATTAGAGGCTCACACCTTGTTTCTTGTTTAGGAAGGGGTTCCCGGATCTCCCCCTTCTAACTCTCTGGCCTCTGTACTGGAGGCTTCCGTGTTTCTCCCGTCATGTGTTCAGTCTGTGGAAATGCCTCTTCATTCTGAGTGTACACGGTTGACAGTTTTCTGGTTGCTGTTTCCGACTGGTAGTCAGGAGTCCTAACTCTTGCGTAGCGTCTTGGATAGGTGTCCCTGCATTCATCTCCGGTGGGCAACCCTGAGGCCAATTTATGTTGCAAGCTGCGCCAATTTCCGTCTGCTCATGTCGCGGTCGATCACCGTCTGCTTCTTCTACTTCAGGCTTTTTTTTGGCTACCGCAATTACACATCATGAAAACTAACAACGATCCCAAAAGAAATCCTAAACCAGCCCTTAAAAAAATCACCTAAACCCTTTAGCACTTCATTTTCTGACATCTGTTGCATTAGAACCAACTTCTGCAGTGTTGAATCTTTCCTTGTTGCGAACTGCCCAGATATACTGGCTCTCTGTGAGACCAATCTTGACTCGTCTATCCCCTCCTCTGATCTCTCGATCCCCGGCTACCTTCCACTCCCAAGAAAAGACTCTCAAACACTTATGCATGGCCTTGGTTTTTACGTCAAGGACCATCTCCCGCTGGCAAGAGAACTGTCTCTTGAATCTCCAGACCATTTTTATATGTGTCTGCGGCTATCCCTTCTCAATGCTGTAAGCTACCTCTTCTTCCTTTATCGCTCTCCATCCTCCCAAGACTGTGGTGGAATCGAATGCATTTCTGACAGCATTGACAAGGCTCTCTCTCTCCATCTGTTTGCTCGCATATTCGTGTTTGGCGATTTTAACGCCCATCATACCAAGTGGCTTAAAAACGCTACTACTGACCTTGCAGGCATAAAACCCTTAATTTTTCAATTTCTCAATCCCTCACGCAAATAGTTGACTTCCCCACACATTTTCCCTACAATATGGATGGTAAGGCTTCTCTTCTTGATCTATGCTTTGCCTCCATCCCGGTGTCCTGTAGCTCTGCCCTCTTGGCAACTCCGATCATGCTGTAGTGTCTGTCACCATCTCCTTCAACTCCACCCCCTGCAATGAACCTCCTACCACTAGAACATCGTTCTGCTATCAACGAGCTGACTGGGACTCGTTCCGGGATTTCATTCGCGACGTCCCCTGGGACGTTGTCTTCACGCTCCCCGTTCAAGAATGTGCTTCCGAAGTCTCTTCCTGGGTTAATGCTGGAGTAGGCTTGAGTACCCTACTTCTGTAATTTATCCCAAGAATCTTCTTCTCATAACAGGAAGAAGCCGACTCAATCCGCCCAGGGTGAATGTCGCATCAGTACAGTACAGTAATGCTGGAATCGAGGCTTTCATCCCCTCAAGGAAATATAAGGTCAAATTGAGCTCCTCCCACTGGTTCTTCGCTGCCATTGCCCATAGGAATCACTTTTTCCACCTTTATCGTAGCGACATGTCTGATTGCAATAGATGTCTCTTTGTCTCTGCCCGTAACGAGTGTAAGCGTGTCCTCAATGAAGCAAAGTCACTATTGAATGAAAAAACGTATTGCATCTCGCAAATTCGGCCCAAGGATTATTGGTATCTCTGCAAGAGCGTACTTAACAATAGCAAACCCTCTATACCTCCTTTGTTCAACCAGTCTATGGTTCTGACCTCTTCTCCCGACGAGGCTGAATGCTTTGCTAGGAAATTCTCATTCAATTCAACGGTATACCTATACCCGATTTCCCCCTTCGAACTGAGGCTCAACTGAGCGACTTGCACATAACCCCGTCATTGCTTTTGGGCATCAACTCTAAATTAGACCCCCACAAGGCTAGTGGTGGAGATGGGATACCAGCCATTTTCCTGAAGAAATGTGCGCCTGAACTGGCCCCTGCCCTCTCCAAATTATATAACTACTGCCTCAATTAATCTTGTTTTCCACCCTGTTGGAAGTCCTCATCCGTTGTTCCTGTCTGGAGATAATTCTGGCCCTTCTAATTATCGTCCCGTCAGTCTCCTACCAATCTCCGGTAAAGTCTTTGAAGCTTTAATCAACGCTGAAGTGGTTATGCACCTTACATCCCATAATATGCTCTCCGACAAGCAATATGGTTTCCGCTTTGCCCGTTCTACAGCTGATGTGCTTACGGCCATAACTGAAATTGTTTACCAAGCACTTCATAATAACGGAGAAGCTCGTGCCGTAGCTCTTGATATCTCAAAAGCGTTTGATAGGGTTTGGCATGCCGGCCTTCTTCGCAAGCTTCAGGATAATGAAATTACAGGTCGATTGTTCGACTTAATACAACCATTCCTGTCGAACCGTACATTGGTGGTCGTTCTCAACAGATTCTCCTCCAGCTCCTATCCCACGAACGCAGGTGTTCACCAAAGTTCTATCCTAGGCTCTACTCTGTTCCTTATCTTCATTAACGATCTTCCTGATGCCATAGGTTCCCAAGTAGGCATCTATATACTTCTGCCTCAAAAACAAATCTAGTGTCGCCGACAAAACTAACCTGGCCGTTTGTCTTGAAAAGGACTTCCAATCGGTTGTGGACTGGGGCAGGAATTGGCTGGTTAACTTTAATGCCTCAAAAACAAAACTGCTCTCTATTACTCCCCAGAGAGAACCATCCCTGTCTCCCATTAGAATGTCTGATGCTCAACTCCACGAGAGTACCTCTTTGCGACGGCTCAGTCTCACTGACCAGAGATGGAACAAATACATTGAGTCAATGGCTTCGTTCACCGCTAGGAAAGTTGGCTCCCTGTGCCGCGCCAGGAAATTTTTCTCGCCGGAGTCGATCCTTCAAATCTACAAATCAATCATTCCTCCTTGCATGGAGTATTGCTGCCATAGATGGTCTGGAGCCCCTTCTAATTGTCTCAACGTCCTTGATAAAATCCAAAGACGGATATGAAATGTAATTGGCCCTGATCTGGCATCTCGTCCTGCAGCCGCTCTTTCACAGACGTGCCGTTGCACCCCTCTGTTTTTTTTTTACAAATACTTTCACGGTAACTGCTCCGATGATCTGCTTTCGCTGGTTCCCAGACTACACGAATTTAAGCATTCAACTAGGCTGGCATCCCTGTCGAAACTGTTAAATGTAGCCGTCTCTTCTACTCCAATAGCTTCATGTCTCGCACTTCTCGCCCGTGGAACTCCCTTCCCATTTTTTGTTTTCCTGATAGCTATAATCTTTAACTATTCAAATATTCAATGGACGTCTCTAGATGCCTTGATCTATCCCCTATCCTTCTCTTCATCCTTTCCTCTATCCCTCCTCTTTGCTCTCGCTCCAACTC